AAAGCAGCCTCATATCAAGTGCATCACAGTAATCCAACCAGGATATATAAAGAAAAAAGAATAAAATGAAGTGTGCTGCTTAATACCAGGCCACAGTGCTAATCTTGAGCTGAAACAGCTTCATCAGATTTAGATGGCAAGGAGAGGCAGAGTTGGGTGTCATCCACATACTGGTGACACCAAAGCCCCCAAAACTCCAAACAACCTCTCCAGGTGGTTTCATGTAGATGTTAAATCACACAGGAGACAAAACAGAACCCCGAGGGACACAACAGGCCAACAGCCAGAATGTCGAACAGAAATCCCCCCCCCCAGCACTACCTTCTGAGTTCAGGAAGTTCCGGGGCCACCAAATCCCATCCCAAAGAGATGGGCCAGGAGGGTCCCACAGCCGATGGCACTGGAAGCCACTGGAAGGCCTCATGCATTCCCCCTGTCCAGATCCTAGTGCGGGTCATCCACCGAGGCGACCAAGGCACTTTCTGCCCCATAACCTGGCCTGAAGCCAGACTGAAATGGATCAAGATCATCCGTCTCATCCAGGAACCCCTGGAGCTGAGAAGCCGCAACCCGCTCCAGCACCTTGCCCAAGAATGGGACGTTGGAGACTGGCCGGCAATGACCCATTCTTGTGGGACTGAAGGAAGGTTGATTTCAATAAGGGACTTACTACTGCCTCTTTTAAGCCTGGTGGGATCCTATCCTTCCCCACGGAGGCGTTCCCCACCCCTCGCACCTGCTCAGCCTGTCCCTTTCTGGCAGCTTCTATGAGCCAGGGAAAGCAAGGGTCCGGCAGACGTGCGGTAGCCATTATTCACCTCTTTCTCCAAGGGACCTGACCAGATCATCAGGCTGCGGAAACTGATAATTATCCAGGAACAAAGGACCAGCAAGGGCCACGGTTATATCCACGGGACCTGAATCAACTACAGCATCCAAGTCGGGGCGGATCCGAGTGATTCTGCAAGGATCTCTCTCTCTCATGCAAATTATTCACAGAGAGCCACAGCATGGCCTGCAGACTCTTCCTGCGGGCCATGATGGAAGAGACTCTCGACCATTCGAAGAAAGCTCCCCTGGGCAGCCGCAAACAGGGGGCAGAGAAGCATGTCTTCTTCACCGCCGCCACGGCCTTCCAAGGGGCCCTAGCCTGTGTTCAGTCAGATTCAAGGTTCCCTCTAAGGCAGTGGTGTCAAACTGTGGCCCTCCAGATGTTCTTGGACTTCAACTCCCAGAAGCCTTCACTACCACCTCTGCTGGCCAGGATTTCTGGGAGTTGAAGGCCAAGAACATCTGGAGGGCCACAGTTCGACACCACTGCTCTAAGGCGTGCACAGAGCTCCGCTGGCACTGCAAAGCGGCAGTCAGTGTCAATGCCTGTTTACTTCCTGGTTTCGGATGAACACACACACACACGGGGGGGGGGCACTCTGACTCTCCTTCATGGGAGGGGACACTTAGGAGCCAGCATGTCAAAGTGCTCGGCCATTTCCCGATTCCAGAGATCAACCAAGGCTTCACAGAGGTGCCTGCCAAAGCAACAGGAAGTCTAAATCCTACCAAATCCTGATCTGTTCATGACAACAGAACGGCAGGGTTCCTCCTCCACACCCTGCTCGCCAGCTTCTATCCAATACAGAAAGCCAGGTCTAAAGTGCAGGGATCAACCCATGGTTGTCATGGAGGTCATAAAGTCCAGAGCTACTCCTGAGAAAGCTTCCTTGGCATGATGTTCAAGTCCCCCAGCACAACAATCCAAGTGGATTTCAACACCACCCCTGAGACTAGTTCAGTTAGCTCACGAGTCTGTTGAGCAGCAGGATAGGAAGCATACCAACAGAACCTACCCCCTATTCTGTCCCAGGCTTCCACTTTCTAGAACACACATTCAAACCCAGAAAACTGGAGCGTGTTGACACCTGGTGAGGGGATTCACAACAGACCACAGCAACACCACCTCCCCGGCCCAGGTCTTCCTTGCTGCCTGCACAGAAACCGGTGGTGGACAAAGCTGGGTGAGACTGACCCCCCCAGCCTCATCCAACCAAGCCTCTGTAATGCACGCTGGATCGGCCTGCTCATCCAGGACCAAATCCCGGATGACTTTTGTCTTCCCCTTTACTGACCTGGAGACAGGACACATGCAAAGGAGGCCTGCATCACAAATCCAGATCAAAGAACCACCACCATGTAGCTGCACTACAACAGGCTTCATTTCCAGATGCTGACAATAACAATCAAGATGGATTTTCCTCCATAGATTTCAATGGGTACGGCTGAGGTAACAATTTAGAAAATATCTTTGTATGTGTGTTCTTAGCATGCTTAGAAGCTAAGAAACACATTTACTCCATATATTCTTACTTTTAACAAAGTGAATAGTTCTCTTGCTTTTAAAATAAGATTAAACATTAGTTAAAACGACACTGCTTTTTATTTTTAACAATTTGAATAGTTTAAGCGTTCTATTCTCTGTCTTTTGTTTTTAAATGTGGCTTATTAGACTATGAGCTCTTGCATTAAAACAGTCTTTTTTCATACAGTGGGGTCTTGACTTAAGAACGGCTCGAGTTAAGAACATTTTGACTTAAGAACTCTTCTCATAGGAAAATATTGACTTGACTTAAGTACTTAGATTTGAGTTAAGAACTGAAAAAAACCACGTGGGAGGCAGGAAAAGTGCAAAATTTGAACTTTCAGTTAACTGTTGGCCAGTGAAAAGGGTGCCTGTCTGCTTCCTCACTCCTCCCAGTGTTTAGAGAGTGGATTGGGAGACAGTCTTCGGACTGCCTGGTACTGTACTGCCTGGACTGTATTTTCCCTGCCTTCCCTGAACCTTTCTTGACTAGTGGTCGAAGGAAACAAAATATCCCCCTCTAGTGGTCGAAGGCGGAATAGCAGCTTCCCATTAGTTTCTATGGACGGAAAAGAGCAGATACAGATCAAATGGTTTTCAATGCATTCCTATGGGAAATGCAGATTTGACCTGAGAACATTTTGACTTGAGAACCGCCTTCCAATACGGATTAAGTTCTCAAGTCAAGACCCCACTGTACTTTATTTGCCTACAACCAGCATCTCTCTAAGTTGTGCAGGCATGCAGGTGTGCGCAGACAAGTGTGTGTTAACGTCCAGTTGCTTCCAGTTGCTGCCACACCCCACACACAAGGGGCGCAGCTCCCAGCCCAGCACTCTGGAAAATTAGAGGGATTGTTGCCTACAACTTAAGTTCAGTTTTCATATATTTTTAAGTATTTGTGACTATAGTTATCTTCAGAGTCATATATCTTTTGGATGTTTTCAGTAGCTGAAGTATTCTTGTGCACATGGAACATAGAAGCAATATACATACAGGCACTCCTCACTGAGACCGCTTGGATTTAGTCTTTATGACCCTCGTAAATCCCTTATTTATTTGTTTGTTTGTTTGATTTATATCCTGCCCATCTGGTATATTCTACCACTCTGGGTGGCTAACAAGAAACATATAGTATATACAGTGGTGCCTCGCATAGCGAACGCTTCGCTATGCGATGAAACCGCACAACGAGGGGTCCCGGGCCATCGCTGGAGCGTTCGCTCAGTGATGGCCCCTATGGGCTTTTTTCGCTATGCGATGATCGCGCGGACGCGATCAAAGCACAGCGAACAGCTGATCGGCGGTTCCAAAATGGCCGCCGCTAAAACAAAATGGCGACCGCTGTTTTGCCTCGCTAATGAGGCATCCAAAATGGCCGCCGCAATGGAGGAAACGGTGAGTTTTAAGTCCATGGGAACGTATTAAATCAGTTTTAATACGTTCCTATGGGCTTTTTTGTTTCACTTAACGATGGATTCGCTGAGCGAGGGTTAATCCGGAACGGATTAACCTCGCTAAGCGAGGCACCACTGTACAGTCAAAACAATATAATATCCCTGCTTGTGTCTTCGCCACACCCCCTTCTCAACTGCAGGTGATTTATTACTCTCTTATGCATTATAAGAGATGTGGTGGCACTACGGGCTAAACCGCAGAAGCCTGTGCTGCAGGGTCAGAAGACCAAGCAGTCGTAAGATCGAATCCGCGCGATGGAGTGAGCTCCCGTCGCTTGTCCCAGCTCCCGCCAACCTAGCGGTTCGAAAGCATGCAAATGCAAGTAGATTAATAGGGTCCACCTCGGTGGGAAGGTAACAGCGTTCCGTGTCTAAGTCGCACTGGCCATGTGACCACGGAAGATTGTCTTCGGACAAATGCTGGTTCTTTGGCTTGGAAATGGGGATGAGCACCGCCCCCTAGAGTCGAACACGACTGGACAAAATTTGTCAAGGGGAACCTTTACCTTTACCTATGCATTATTATTGCTCCTCGCTTATCAACCAGTTCGCAATGGCAGAACTCAATTGTTAAGTGAGAAGTGCATGTAATTTGTTGTTGTATACGTGTTTAATTTTGATTTTGTAATTATGTTCATTGTTTTAAATTGTTGTTTTATATTATATTTGTTTAATGTGTAAACCGCTCAGAGTGGCCTTGGCAACGAGATGGGCAGTATAAAAGTCAAATAAAATAAAATAATTGTAGAATTATACAAGATGATGTTGGCTGGAATTATTGCAACAATGAAAAGAATACACTTTGATACTCAGGTGAATTTTGATTTGATTGTCAAAGACTGTTTAGTTTCATTCTGGAATTAACCCTTTACTAAGATAAATGCCAGCTGCGACAAACACAGGCTTCTGATTTCTTTCCCAGGAGGTCTATAAAATTTTGCCCGACTCCTAGGGAGGGTTCAGGTGGGAAGACTCAAGAGGGAAGCAGGCCAGGCATGCGCAGTAGGGATGGTGGGGCTTGTTCCAAAATGCGAACTGCTCAGCTGTAGAAGGTCCCAGAATGCTTTGCCAGGTGCAAGAAAACCCACTGGCATCCATTCCCAACGTCCACGAAGAAGGACCCTTCTCTGCAGATCTACCAACACACACTCACAATATATCTTTTGAAAGAATGGAAAGGCACCTACCTTTACAGGGGAAATATGAGAGTGGGAAACAAAGCCATGGATGTTCTCAATCTGCGAGAGATTCTTCTCAGACACCTGCACGAGCTCGGGAGATATTCCTTCACTCGGAGCCTGCGGGGAGCTGCTGCTGTGCACCACGGAAGGCGTGTCCTCATCTGGACAGCGGTATTTCTGCAAGAGTTCACGCAGACGGTTCAGGTCGGTTATCTTGCATGGCAGCTGCAACAAGGCAATGGGCTCCCACAGCCCTGCAGCCCCACCCTGGGCCTGCCCCTCTTATGGGCAAGGGCACCCCCCCCAGGGTACCAGACATGGCTGCAGGTCTTGCTGGCACTTCCAGCCCACCCTTTACTGAGAGCCCCTCAGGGCTGCCTCCCGCACAGTGGCTTTCAGGGCAGCCAACTGAATGCCAGCACGCAGAAGGCAGCCCCGAGAGGCTCTCCAAGAAAGAAGGAACAAAGGACAAGCAAGGAAGCAAACAAATAAGACAATCACCAGATTCCCGACAGCTATAGTGCAACCGTTCCATTTATACAGTTTGTACACCATTTTTACCCAATGTGTTGCTAATTTTATCCCAGGAGCTCAGTGTTTCTCCTGAATATCTCTGCCTTTTCATCACTCTACTTCTTTCTTTATCCTATTTTCAAGGCAAAGCACGTTGCACTATAAGGGATTACAGTACATGGGAGGCATAAAAATAGACCCGAGGCCTCAAAAGGCCGAACTGCTTGTGCACTAAATATATAGCAAAGGAGCAATGTTTCTCTAAAAGCAATTCTTCCCTTTCACATCTCAAAGTTCAAGCCACTATCACACTAAGAAACATCCTTCCAAATCTAGAGAACAATCTTGTCTATTATTTTCAATGCCTTTTAATACAATGTAGTTTTTAGCATGGCTTAATTCTCTCTCTCTCTCACACACCCACACCCACACCCACCCACACCCACTCACACACACAATAAATGCTGACCGAAGCAAGTTAAAATAGGAGTGAAAAAGAGAGGTTATTTACTTGTAACTCTGGTTCTTTGCATGGCCATCTGTGAATTCACACAAATGAGTTTTAGTGCATCTGCGCAGAGAACCTTGAAACTTCTACAGCTTTAGCACGTGTTGTTCGAATCTCCTTCCGGTCACGTCTGCCCTGCCCATGGAACGGAGGTGCCTCAGTTCTGTAGAACAGTCCGCCGCTGCCCAGCGTGCAAAAAGGGATATGTGACGGACAGAATGGAGGATGGGCAGGAAGTATGAATTCACAGATGACCCCTCGAAGAACCAGAGTTACAGGTAAGCATCCTCCCTTTCTTCTTCGTGGTCTCTGTGAATGCACACAAATGAGTGACTAGCAAGCTGACTTACCAGGAGGTGGGACGTCACGATAGAGAAGAGGCAAGGACAGCGAGACCCAAGGAGGTGTCAGCCGTGGCTCGGACCTCCAGCCGACCATGAGCAGGCAAAGTGAGGGGCGTAGCCCAAGGGGCCGCTTTGCAAGCATCAGTCAGGTCACCCCTCTTAGAAATGCATGGTGCTACAGCTCTGGTAGAGTGAGCATGGGAAGGGTACTCAGACAAGGTTAGATGCCAGGCGAATTGTGGCTACAATCCACTTGGAGATGCCTTGAGAGGTGACTGTGGAGCCTCTAGAATAACCATGACAGCTGATGAAGTCTTTCAGACTTCCAAAAGGAAGCAGACACGCCGGATGTCCAAGGAATGTAAGGATCGCTCTAAGTCAGTAGTAGCCAAAGGGAAGAATGTAGGGAAACAAACAGGCTGTGGTGTGTGAAAATCAGGCACCACCTTAGAAAGGAATGACCTTGTCAGGATGGAACTGCAGAAAAGTTGGGCCACCGTGAAGGGCAGAGAGCTCACTGGCTCTAGGAGCTAAAGCGATTGCGACACGAAAGGCAGTTTTCAAAGTTTAAAGGCTCTCTGGTACAGTTCCCAATGGTTCAAATGGAGGTCGCATTAAGCAATTGAGCACTCGTTGGATCAACCATGGAGGAGCAGGTGGTCTGCATGGAGAGCAAATATTATTCAAACCACGCAAAAATGGTTTGAGTGTGGGATGCCGAAACACTGATGCAGAGTCTGAACCCTGAGGCTGGTGAGCGACTATCGCCACAATATACACTTTCAAAGTGGACCGTGAAAGGCCATGCTGGAAAAGGTGAAGAAATTCAAGAACAGTGTCCAGTGTCATAGGAAGGATGGATAGGTTACGGGACAACCCAAATTTGGAGATACTGCAGCCATTAATATTGATACAGAAGCTGTGGAAGGCAGAAGACGTCGACAGCTGTGGCTTGGAGGGTCGTGAACCATGGTTGGCGGGGCCACCACAGAGCGATCAATATGGCACTAGAATTGTCCCGCTGGAGTTTGATGGTAGTGCATTGCAGAAGCGGAATGGGTGGAAAGAGATGGACTATGAAGGCATTCCCTATTGACTGAAGTCCGATCCTTGCCCTTGAACAGAAGTACAGAGGGCATATTGCGTTGACAGAGGAAGTGAACGCATCCACTTGTAGGGTGCCCCAATGACAGCACAGAAGTTGAAAAAAATTTTCATCTAACGACCACTTGTGGGTGCATGACTGTAGTCTGCTGAGGTGTTCCGTGAGTGTATTGTCCTCCATAGAGATTTGGACTGCAACTGGGTAAATGTGGTGAGTGTAGCACCATCTCCACAGCTCTACTGTCAGGGAAAGGAGAGAGAAAGAGTGTGTTCCGCCCTGCTTGCTTATATAAAACTGGACAGTGGCGTTGTCGGTAGCAACTTGAACTGCACGTCCTGTGAGAAGGCTCTCAAAGGCACAGAAAGCTTTGATGACTACCAGAAGCTATAAATGGTTGATGTGCAGACTCACCGTAGGGAACTATAGGCCATGTATGGTTGCATTGTTGCAGTGGACTCCAGAGTCTGTGGGACTGGTGTCTGTGGTGACTTGAGCAGACAAGCGAAGGGACTTGAATGGTCTGCCTATGCAAAGATTGTGAGCGTTGGGATGCTAGTTTTGTCGTGACTGTGAGAAGTTTGGAAGGGCGATGAACCATGTGGTCACAATCTGTGAGATACCGTGCCTGGAGTGACTGCATCTTAAGGTGGGTATGTTGGATGACTACATGAGGCCGAAGAGGCACTGGGCAAAATGAGCTGTGACAAGTGCACTGGGTGCAAAATAGTGGAGTAGAGATCAAAGGCTCGTTCTTCTTTCGCTTGGTAGGAAAGCACAGCCCTAGGTCGAATCGATTACTGCTAGTATGTGCAAGACCCACTGTGAGGGTTCTAGAACTGGCTTGGATAAGTTGACGGAGTCCTAAGTTTGACAGAAGGGACAAAGTCAGGTTGACGCTATGACATGCCTTGGTGCGATATGGAGAGACCAGGAGCCAGTCGTCCAAATATGGGAAGATTGTCACGCCTTGGGAGGCGGAAATATGCTACCACAGGGGCCATGGCACAGTTGACAAGCCAAATGGAAGGGTCTAGAATTTGCATGTCGTTCCCTGGAAGGTGAACCTGAGAAATCTGTGGTGGTCCAGACGTATGTTTATGTGGAAGTAGGCGTCTTTTAAATCTATGACTGCAAACCTATCGCCTTGTTGAAGTAGTGGGATGGTACTGTCCAAGGTGACCACAGGAAAACGCTATGGGGTGATGTAAAAGTTGAGGTGGCGGAGGTCTAAGATGGGCCCGTAGCCCTCCATCCTTCTTAGGGACTGCAAAATATCAGGAGTAGAAACCGAGAGCAACATCTGCCTGTTGTACTACTAGTGATGGTATCCTTGTGCAGAAAGGAGCTGATATCCTCTTCCAAGGCGGGGGAGGGGGTGTTCCTGAAGATCCCAGTTGGCTGGAGATAGTCCAATTGTATAGCCTGAGGAGATGAGGGTGAGTACCCAGGTGTCTGAAGTAATGCTTCACCAAGCATGGGGGGGGAAAGCACCAGTTGTGTGTGGTAAGTATGTGGAGCTGATGGAGGGGGATGAACATAGGGGTTGGGAGAGTCAAAGGTTATGTTTTGTCTTCCTCTCAGGTCTACAGGCAGACAAATGTGGGAACTGTCTGGTGGAAGGTGAAAGTGGATGAATTGGAGGCATGTGGACGTTGACGCTGTATCTGAGGTCTATACTGCTACAGTGCGATGCCAAAAATTACTTGAGCGGTATTGCTGAGCATTATACGATCTTCCTGTTCTCCTCAAGTTTTAGAATCTCATCGGTCTTATCATCAAAAAGACCAAGGCCATCAAAAGGTAGGTCTTCCATTCTAGACTGAGCACCATCGGATATACCACAGCCATGCATGACGTCATAGGGCTATGGCTGTGGCCATCTGCTTAGAAGCAGCATTCACAACATGGCGTACTGCTATCCTTTCCTGGCAAGCAAGGGCCATGGCCTCTTGTTGACCACGAGAGCGTAGGTCTTCAGAAGCAGCCTGGAGAATAGGTAGTGCTATCGCAGCTCTATAATTAGCGGCCCACACAGCATCAGGCAAGGGGAGAGGAGCATTCTCATCCCCAGATAACAAGTCAAGCCATATTGTCTCCTGTCAAGGCTCTTCAGTATGTGGTGGAGATGGTATTGGTTTATCTGCAAGGCTTTCAGCTTTATTCAAAAGGGAAGGCTTCTTTTTCTTTCTAGGAGCATCTGTTGGTGTCGAGGTGGCCGAACGATTCAATGCAGGTTTTGACATCGATGTCGAAGGCTTAGTTTCAGACTCTGGTTTGGCCTTCTTAATGGGCTGGGGCAGCCTCAAGGTTGGACAGCAGGTCTGACAGCCAGGTGGAGGCTCTACAGGTGGGGCCTGAGGATCCATAGTCAGACACTGAGGCAGTTGTAGAGATTTTTCCCAAAAGAAAGATCTTAACCACTGAAGCCGAAGCTTTAGCACTGGTTTTGTCAAATTCTTCCAGGCCTGGCACAACGAAGCTTGGTATACCTAGCTTAAAGCAGCAAAGGCACTGGGAATTTCCGTTCAAAAGAGTTATTTTATTTGGACAGGATTCACAGCACTTGAAGGGCCTCAAAGAGGACATAAAGCAGCAAAAGGCCTGGGTGGAAAAAAAGGGTAGGAAATAAAAGGCGATTCTAATATTCCCTTACTTCTTTTCTCTCTTTATATATATATATATATATATATTTTTTTTTACTCACGAA